GCCACACACCCCTAATGAAGCCAATCCTAATGAGTTTCTGCTATTGGGTGTGGCCTATTATGCTAATGAGTTTCTGCTGGGCGTGGTCAACTTGGGAGCCAGCCGGAACTCCGTTCCTGTGCGTTCCTGCCCCAAAATAGCCCTGGTTGTAACCAATAAAGTTGTGGCCATTTAGTTCCACAAATTATCCAAATTTGGTATGTGTGTGGTTCTGTTATACTAGGGTAGGGATACATAATGGCAGGGACATCTCCCTCCCCACCTAAAAGCTTGAACTCCAAAAGGTCTTTTAAAACTTTGAGAAGAGAGGCTTTCTTTTCAGTTTCTGCTTAAACACTCAAGCATAGTTTCTGAGTTTTACTGACTCTTAAAATCTAGACGGCAAGAACATACAACCAAGTTCCCAAAATCCTTCTGTGTACACAGACAAAAGATCACTCCTCCTTTTAAGATCACTCCCTTTTCACTGGGTAGGGATTACTTCTCTTAACTAGAAGCAGTTTCCCTCTTCGGCTTGAATGGGGATCCTCTCTGATCCTCTGACTCCTTTTGCTTCCTTCTCAGTCCACAGTCAGTCTTTTGCTGTCTCTTCTTCACCTGTCAGTTCCCAACTGTCCTTTCTTAACTGACTCTGTCCACTGAATTCTGTTTGAACAGCCTGTCACTCAAAGATTCTCAGACTCTATTAGGCATTAACCCTTGACAGTCCATCACAACCCCCTTAAAAATATATATTTCCATTTCATTAGGCTCCCTTTCTACCTTCAAGTGCTGCCTTGAGCAAAAAAATGGGTGGTGCCCCACACAAAAGCCTTAACTAATCTGTTATATCAATCAAACCCCACTTGGCTTTAGGGTATTAAAACTCCCTAACTCCAATGAATATCATCAAATCTTTGTATCATCAATCTCCTTAAGGGTTCAGTTATGCTGCTCCCCACTACATAGGGGTGACAAAAGGCAAGGAGTGGCACAGGTGGGAGCAGAGGAAATTGAGACTTACTCTTTTAAAAGCCTAATCCTTTCTAAGATGCTGGGGAAGCACAAAGGAAGGCACATGACCGACAAGCACAGCAAGTGTTCCTCAAAAGATTATGCATATAAAATACATGGGTGCACACTGTGTTTCATAGCACCATCTTGGTCAATGACAGAGAAGGTCAGTATAAGTGATTTGGGGCTCTCCCTGCTGGGATGTGCAAGTCTGAGGAATCTGAAGGACGAGGGGCAGAGTCAGCCATATGATACAGCTAGCATATTCTCTAGATGCTGTTTGGTTTTCATTGCTGAAAGTTTTTGTACAGGTTGGCTGCTTTGCACATGGAGAAGAGATGCTGCACACTGGGAAGGCTTCTTGTACATTTACAGAACGCATGGCCTCAGTCGTATTTACTCAAGTTGCACGCACATGAACAACTACATCACAATGGCCTCTTGTTCTTGTAGCAAATATTCACACCTAAAGATGGCAATAAGTTGATCCTAAAACCTTTACAGAAGAATGCCAGAAGCATAGAAAAGATAAAGGCCACCTCAAAAAAAAAAAAACCCACACATACATTTCTCTACAAGCTTCCCTTCTCTGGTTCAACTGCTTTCTTGTTGGTTCTTGTGCTTATTCAAAACCTTTAGAATGGAGCCAAAATTAATTAAGTGGAGATGCTACATCGAACCAGGTACCTTATACATGCAAAGCATGCACTCTGCCAGTGAGCTACAACCTGAGTCAATATGCTATGGCTGGTTTCTAATAGACTTGCCTGTTTAATATGCATACATGCTCCCCATTGAAAGCAGAAAATTCTATCCTTTGCACAAAAATTTGCAGTGTTATCCTAAGCAGAGTAATACCCCTCTGACACTGCTAGTCAATGACCTTAGAAGGGTATGGATCTGTTTAGGATGGCACTGCTAATTCCGGGGCTTTATTAGGGTCTAGGGTTGCCCACTCTGGGTTGGGAAATTCCTGGATATTTTGGTGGTGGAACACGGGGAGGACAGGATCTGGGTAGAGAAGGAAGCGCAGCAGGGTGTAATGCCATAGAGTTCACTCTCCAAAGCAGCCATTTTCTTTAGGACAACTGATTTCTGTTGTATGGATACTGTAATTCTGGGATGTCTCCATGCCTCTCCTGAAGGCTGGCAACCCTGTTATTATTCTCCCCCCCCCCCAAAAAAAAAATCTAGAAATTTCATAACAGTAACCAAAATGCCCCTTTATTCTGCAGTCATCCATGCCTCTCCTGAAGGCTGGCAACCCTATTATTATCCCCCCCCCAAAAAAAAACACTAGAAATTTCATAACAGTAACCAAAATGTCCCTTTATTCTGCAGTCGTAATGTAATTTCCCACATTATTTCTATATCAAGAAGACGCAGATTTTTAAGCCTTAAATTTGTCAAGTACAACATTTATTAAAGCACAGGCCAGCTATGACTTATCAATTCCATTCGTAACAGGTAGGATTTCAGATTTCACTCCCAATCCTGACACAAACCTACATTTTCATTGAAAGAATAAGAATTGCTAAAAGTGTATTTAGGAGCATAGCCTTGATATGTACTGAACAAACAGAACATAATAGTTGCCTGCTGCCATTACGGTTGGATAGGCGGAGAACTAACTCTAGATGGACATCAGCCAAATAGTTCTAGGGGGGGTAAAATAGTGCCATAGGATGTTCCTGACCTGTGGACCTGCTTTTTAAAATGGTAACTTATCCCATCTCTGGAAGTCTTGCCATAATCCCATATTGTACAGTGATCCCTGTTATAAAAACAATCATACATTTTGCAATATTATTTATAATATATCCTTTAACACAAGAAATCATCTTTAAAAAAAAAGAATAGGTCATTAATTGTGAACTGCTATAAAAATATGAGAATTTATGTGAAAAAGTATACTCACAAGGTTGATCTTCTCACTCTCACATGCTTTAAATTACAGTTAAATAAAACTTGCCCTTGGGCAGAAGCCAAGGATGGATAATCTTTGTTGAAAAGCAGAATTTTTAAAGACACCCATGTCCCTGGCAGAATAATGAACCAAGAAAGAAAAGGAGTTCTGCACTTTTAAATACAGATGTTACCACCCATGAAAGCAACACTACCACTTTAATTTTTTTTTTTAAAAAAAACCCTAAATATTATGTTGTCTAGACAACAGTTTTCCTTAAACATAATCCTTTTGGTTGGAATATTTCATTATCATTAAAAATACAGTACATTTATGAAGTATGGGAAGGAACAGCCCTTCCCTTGTGCATGCCCATGAATGAGTGGATAGAAGTAAGTATGGGAATCCCCTTGAATGCTCACAGCTCATCAAGCATAAGGAGAATGATCTGGTGAGAAACCAAATCACACCCTAGATGTTTTAGTGTCTAATCCTCTCACAATAGCCTTGTTGTTATTATTAGTCCCATTTTAGAGAGAAAGGAGGCTAAAACTGATTTTTGCTGCAGTTTTATGGCTGAGAGGGATTTGAACCCAGGCTTTCCAAGTCCAGACTTTACCTACTAAACCATTCTGAGTCTGTAGATACTGGATGGGCATTCAGAAAAATACAAATCTACAGGATTTGCCTCCGTCCTACAAAGATGAAAGAACTGCCACCCCCACCCCCAAAATGAAGTTGCAAAATCTGCACCGGGAACAATTGTGCAGTAATAATGAATGACTCACATGCCCTGAGTTTCTCTTTTGTTCACACTCTATAATATTCCTAATAATTTACTCTGATACAAGGTCATGGTGAATAAGATCTAGACAAGTTAAACACATGGGAAACAATCAACAAAGAATAGCATAATATACCTTTCCTGAGTTACAGAACCCCCAGTGCATTAAACTGCTTTCATGGATTGCCTGGAAATGTTATGAATGATATACTATGGCTTGTAGCCAATGGACTGTGAATGCTTCTGCACACACATAAAGATTTTAGTTTTTCTCTCCCTTGATTACAGCTCCCTGTACTGAGTCAGTGGCTGCTCCCAAAGTATTTAAGGGTGACTTCAGGGGCTGACTGTGCAGCACTACAAGCCACTCAGTTCAGACACGGCCAACAACACCAAAGATCGATGTCAGCCTCACTTGTTGCTTCTTCCTGTGGAAGACAATGGGTTAGCCAACACTCCGCTGTCCTGTGGGACAGTGGCTGTAGTCAGAAGGGGAGCTTGGTGTGACCAAGTCAAAAATCCGGCTGGATCCATCCCTCAAATAGAATAATATGTAATGCTACTGAGTGAAACAAATACAGTGCGTATTATACAGGCGATAAATGTGTAAGTCTAGGTTTATAGAATCAAATTAAGAAAAAAAATTACTTTATCTAGTAATGATTACAGCAGTCAAACTCCTTTACTTGTGCCAAGCAGAGATTTTCCCATCAATTTTCATCGAGTTATGTAACATCAATAGTGTGGTAAGAGAAATAATAATGCAATTAACATTTCTATTGATTTGTGGTAATCCCAATAAAGATGGCATGATGCATGCTGTACCATCTCATTTCATCTTTTTTACACGGCTATCATCAGACTGAATGTTTACTTTTAAAACCAAGATTAGGAGGAATCATAACGCCAGAATGGAAGATAAAAGAGAACTTGAGGGGTTTTTTTATCTCTGACTCAGAAGAAACAGTAAATGGGAATGTTTAATACTTGAGATGTTTAATACTTGAGAATTTTCTAGCAATTCCTAGTTCCAATACTGCGCAAAATGCACAGACACTCGTCATCACCAAATGGATAATTCTGATAAAGGGTCCCATCAATTTTTAAAAAAATTGACAATCATGATGTACCTTTTGCTAAGTTTCCATAAAACTTAGCAAGCATCTTCAATAAACGGGCAGCAGGCTTCATCAACACATAGCACCATTACACAATTATTTCCCACATACAAATATCGGAAGGAGTCTCTCATTCTTCACTGTCTGAACCAGTCTTCATACAGCTTCAGGTTATTTGCAGCTGACCAGAAAAGTCTTATCACAACAAGTAAACTGTGATGACTGAGACCAGCAACAGCATGCTAACAGCCTTCCTGCTGCTGCTTGATGTCCTCTGTGCATGCACAACTGCAAATATGGCATTTGTGTGGTTCGTTGGCAAGTCTATGTTGCAGATCATCCCTTCACAACAGGAGACACATTCCTGTAGGTTTTAAAAGACCATGTTATTATATGGCGTTTAGACTGTGGCTCACTTTGAAAAAGCATAGAAACGTAATCAAATTAGTTGCAGTTGCTTTAAGTAATTAAACCTGCATACATTCAGAAGGGAAAAAGAACTTTTGCTCCCTTTTTGTGTAGTCACAAACATATCACAGCAGACACAATCTAATGGCTGATTCACACAGAGTACATATGTTGGGTCTGGGGTTCCTACCCTGCTGCATAACAGTAAGACATAAGTTGCTGATTATGATGGACCCGTCACTCCCCCACTATCAAGCAGGTTTTCCAGCCAAAAGTTTTGTTCTCTGTTGGATTGAGCAGCCCCAAGTAGTCCTTATACATATTTGCAGTTTAGTCTGGCAACATTCGATGTGGCGCCAAAATGAGTTGGCTGAATGATCTGTCACTCAGAACGTGTCCCTAGCCACTGGCTGCGTTGCCTGAGTCCCGCCCAGCCACCACCCAAGAGTACTCGCGTGCCATTGGCTGGGGGATGGGTTTGCTTCTCTTCCCCCTGAATGAATGGAAGTTTCCCTGCTCTCTTGGGCAAGAGAGAGAGAGGCTGAAGCAGCCAGTCGAAGGAGAGATCCTGTCCTGAGCCCACAAACTCCAGAGCTAGAGTGTTGTGTGCAAGGAAAGATGATTGCGTTTAACCCCTATTGATTTATGCCCTTACTCCTACAGTTGTGCCTTATTTATTTAGTGTGTGCGCACTCCATAATTGTGTAAATAGTTAAATAAATTATTTAATTTGGGCTAATAATCTGTGTTGTCCTTTGACCACATAGTCTTCCCTGCTCTGCACCCAGGGAAGCAAGGAAAGGCCAGACCCTTGGGTTGCCAACTTTCCAGGGATCCCCCCCAAAATTGGGGATTCCATCTCCAAATATGGAGATTCGGCCAGAGGGGGTCTTACCGTCCCTTTAAAAAGGCAGTGACAATTCAGTGAGTCGTGTCAGCGAATTTAAGGAGTGAGATACGCGCACGGGATGAGGGTGGGAGGCAAACAGCTGAGTGGTAAACTGGAGCCCGTTTCGCCACGGTAGGCAACCAAGATTGGTTCAGACAA